AAGAGTACTAACCTAAGACCCTGGGGAGGGGGGCTTACCAGTATTTATATTTGAGTGCTTTTTTTTAAGTGCAGTGAAGTTGCTCCTTATATGCATTTAGCGAAGCAACTTCCCTTTATGGTGGTAAGAACAAAACAAAGCTTTTAATTTTTTCACCAAAAATTTCTCTGCTATGTAACATTGAACATTATTCTGGGGGCTTTATTTGAGACTTAAAGTGCTGAAACAGCTCAAAGTATGTTGAGAACAAAGTTAAGCTTTTCTACAGTTTCCTCTGGGGCTTCACTTTACACGAACTTTTAAAAAGGCATTTATTATTTTCCAATTCTCATTTTAGCTAGAAATGTTGGCTTTATAAATTTATAATATAGGCAGAATTTCATTTGAAGATTATGACATATGAAATATGGAAAATTTATATTTGAGTGGTTCTCCCTGGCTGGTGTTCCTAAGTGATTGCAGGGGTGGGCAAACTTTTTGACTCGAGGGCCACAGTGGGTTCTTGAACTGGACCGGAGGGCCGGAACAAAAGCATGGATGGAGTGTTTGTGTGAACTAATATAAATTCAAAGTAAACATCATTACATAAAAGGGTACGGTCTTTTTTTTTTTTTTTTTTTTTTTTTTTAGTTTTATTCATTTCAAACGGGCTGGATCCGGCCGCGGGCCGTAGTTTGCCCAAGGCTGGATTAGAGTGTCAGCTCTCACACCAAAAGGAGGAGAGGTTGAGGGTTTGATTACTGGTTAGGGGCATGTGCCTGGGTTGCAAGTTCCATCCCTGCCCCTGGTTGGGGAGTGTGAGGGAGGCAACTAATCGATGTTTCTCTCCCACTCTCTCTAAAAAAACACACACAGAAAACCAAAAATCAATGGGAAAAAAAATCCTCAGGTGAGAATTAAAAACAAAAAAAGAGTGGTTTAAATGTGTATTATATATGGATTTACATATGTGATTTTTAAAAATTGAAAGGATATATACTAGATGGTTAACAGCAGGTATTACTGTTTGATGGTGGGATTACAGAAGATCCCCCCCCCGTTTTATTTAACTGTATTTTGACTTTTGGGGGGTGATGAATATGTAAAAAAGAAGAAAAAAAACATTCTAGTTACTAGGGATTCACAAAGGCTTCTTTGGTTCACAAAGGGCCAAAATCTATTTTCAGTACTCACCAACCCTAAAAGAATTATATTCGTGAATAATTATACCTCAAAGTCACAGGGTGACAACAAATTTCTTTGAGCTTTTGCTAGAATACATAAATTTTCTGGTAATGCTGGTTAGTAGATGGCGGTTGCTTTCTTTGGTAGCTACATGTCTGGGCAATATATATATATATATTACTGCTTAATTTAAGAGTTACTTAAACTTAGCATTTCTGTTTTTTTAAATCTTTGTTGAGAGATTACAGATGTCCCCCCCCCCGCTTTTTACCTCTTGCC